GCAAGGTAAGGTAAGGCAACAGGCAAGAAACTGTCCATTCTTCATCTGAGGCATAGATTTCTTCCTCAGAAGGGTAAGGGCCGAGCTAATTCAGCTCACATTGAACACTGGTGAAATTTTTATGGTGAAATATTGTCTCCTAAAAGAAACTGTTGATTTTAAGCAGCTTGCTCTTCCCTCCTTAAGGGCTGTGACAGTGCTTGCTAAGAACATTCATTTCCTCGCTCATTCATTTACTTGACAACATTTATTGAGTGCCTAGGGGCCCAGCATACCCTGGGCATCCTAGATTGAGAAAATAAACATCTCGCCCTTCACAGAGTTTAATCTCCAGTGGGAGAGCTGAGCAGGAAACAAACATACAAAGATCCAGGTTGTGTCATCCACAGAAATGTAGAAGACGGCAGAACTGACAGGCAGAGGAGATACCGGTGGTCTCTTGGCGTCTAGAAGTCCATGTGCTGACACAGCCAAGGTCCACTTAAGGGACACGTTCTGCATCTTCTGCTGTTACCTCAGCAACCTACACCTGGACTGTGTTGTTCTGTAAGTGGAATTTCAAGGATCTTCAACCAAGATGCGCACAAACTCCTCACGTACAGATGAATTATTCATTAATGTGAGAGATGCCACATCTACCCGCGGCTCTAATTAAAAGGGTTCACTCCCACACGGTCATAGAGATGGTTTCTGTAGGATTTTGAAACTCCCGCTCACATACTTTGGGCACGTTGCCGGGAGGGACAGGTCCTTGGAGAAGGACATCATGCTTGGGAGGGTGGAGGGATAAGGCAGGAAAAGACGAGCCCAGATGAGACGGATTGAAACAGTAACTGGAGCAACGGGGTTGGTGTCAGAGACAATGAGATTGGCTCAGGACAGGGCCAGGCGTCAGAGCTGCTTACACAGGGTCGCTATGAGCTGCAGGCACATAACAACAGTCCTTAGGGAGCTGTGTTGGTAACCCAAAGGTGACACTTCTCTGGTGGTTCAAATCCACCCGCAGCTCCGCTCCAGCGCTTCTCCGAGGGAGAAAGGTGGGCAATCTCCGCCCATGTGATTTCACAGCCTCAGATGACCCCAGCGGAGGGTCAGCTCGGAGTCGGTTCTGTCTCACAGGCAATGAGCTGGGTTTGTTCAAAGAAAAGAAAACACATCAAGATTCTAGTGATGTCACAGCCCTGGCCTGAGTAAACGAGAATGGTCAGAGTTGGCTGTGTGAAATGAGCTGGTCAAACACAGTCCTGTGGATGCGTTACGGGCTGGGTGTCAAAAGCATCGCTCACTGTTGCTGTTATATCTGAGACGTACTCTCAGGTAACCTCCACGCGAGGCGTGCCTGGTGCAGGACTGGGCACTTCTCTGAGCGCACAGACAATCTGCTGGCAAAGCCGAGGACGCCAGTGTTCTCAGGCACCTGCCAAAGTGGCCTATTAATAGAAGGAAACGCTCCTTGGTCCTTCGTATTATATAATTAATGTTCAACTTAGTAAGCTCTTTACTCAGAGGTAAAATGAAACAATATCTTCTAATAAATGACCAAAGAAGAGGTTTAAATATCCACATTCATGTCAGTGGCAGAATCAATGTCTTTAGCGAGTGTAATTAAAATACACCATGACGGGAACTTCGCCCAGAATATTCCCAGGCCAGAGCAGTGTCCAGCTCGTGGACGTGTGTCCAGTGCGCACACACACAGGCCCAGATTTGACTTCCTGCTTGGCTGTCATCGTCTGGAAGTTCCTATTCTGTCTTGAGCCAGGGGCCTTCGCTGCTGTTTTGTACTGGGCCCTGCAGAGTTCACGGCCAGCCCTGGTGAGGGACAGCGACGCTACGTGTCATGACCTGAGTGATATAAGGAGTGTCATCACCGTCACCCAGCTGTACGTGCACAGATGGACCGACGGTTGATACCGCAAATGCTTGTTACCTGTGTACTGACCTCAATGTAAACACGGGGCCTGGACAAAATGGCTACAAACACACAAACACATCCTGTCACAGATGCACTGGTGTCAGAGTCATCCTTGTTTATATTAAATAATTGCCAAATTATGTTTCGCTTTAACCTGAGTGTCATACTAGGATCTCCAAAGTATAAGATCTAGTCTAAAATGAAGCAGCCATTTAGGATTAGTCTTGAGTTCTTAAAACAAAATGTGCACTTTCTCTCTTCACCCTCGAATTGGAACCGAATCATAGCCGAACCCTTGAGTGTGTTTTCAGAAGCAGTAAACTCCATGGGAGGAGACAGCTCACCTCGCTCCCACGGCTCAGCTGGTGGATTCGAACTGCCTGTCTCTGGGTTGGCAGCCCAACTCCTTACCCACCAGGGCCACCAGAGCAATAAATGCCTTATGGTTCATGAACGTGGCCAGTGCTTGTAAAAAGACACCACGCTGAGAAAGGTGGAGGGTCAGTAAGAAAGGAAGAGTCTCGATGAGATGGACGGACACCGTGACTGCAGCAGTGGACGTGAGGGTGGCGGTGAGGACGGCGCAGGACAGGACAGGGGCCAGAGCTGCTGTGCACAGGGTCGCTATGAACTGGAGGTGACCCAAGGGCACCTGCCAGCGACAAAGACTTTGACAGACTATCCTGAGCCTGTATGAATCAGGTCAAACGAAAACCATGCATGGCATTCTTATTTCCTCCCCTAAAATTGACCCACACGCCTTTGTGGTTTCTAAAACCCCGAGAAGCCCCAGGGTCCTGGGAAACCCGTGATGTTACAAACATGCGGAGAGACCCCTGGAGCCTCTTACCTTCTTCGTGGCCAAGCTGCTTGTTTTTGGCCCTCTTGCGGGCCTCGACCTTATCCATGTCCGCGTTGACTGTTTCATACACCGTTTCGGCCACTTCCTGCTGCCAGCGCTCAGAGATGACCAAGGGGAAATTCCTGTAGAGCTCCTGGTCGCTGTCCAGCAGCTTTAGTGTTGGGGGAAAATCAAGACATTTATGGTTTAGTACACAGGATCCATGGGACCCACATGCACCAGGCAGAGACGCAACACACGGAACGCAGCGCTACCCAGAATAGACAGTACAAACTTTGATACATGTAGTTTTCACGTTGCTGAAACAAAAATTGCACTTGATGAGGGGTATTTCATTCCCCAAAACATTAGGAAAAAATGTTCCTTGTGCCCCTGGAGGGAGGCTGGACTTTGAAGACCAGGAGAGCAAAGGCTTTTATGCATCTGTGGTTGTTGTGTACCATAGAGGTGGAACCAAGCCATGGCTGACCCTATTTTCAGAGGCAGTTCATTGCCCGGGAGCAGACTGCCCATCCTTCTCCCACATGTGAGATACAATTTTATGGTTGGGGTGCTAGCGGGCCTCCTGGTAAAAAGGAACACATTGCTCCTTAGAAGCACACAAGCATGTCTCTTATCAGGGGACTTGCTCTGCTCAAGCCCTCCCCTGACAGAAAGGCAGGGGATGGGAACAGCGAGAGGCCCTATTCAGAGGGAACAGAGTTAAGGGTGAAGTCAACTGATTAAGCCCCAAGAGAAGCTCCAGTCTGGGGTGTTCCGCAGTCACCCTTCTTGATCTTTTTAAAGAATGCATCCACTTTGAGATGGCTTTTCTTTGTCTCTGGGAGGTTTAAATGGTTAGTGTCCTCGGCTGCTACTCAGGAAGGTGGAAGTTCAAAGTCTTTTGAGAGGCGGCGCAGAAGAACAGCCTGGCAACCAGGGATGGAAAACCCAGGGAACAGAATTCTACTCACAAACGGGCTCATCAGTCCAACTGGCTTAATTGCAGAGCCTGCCTTCCTTTTCATTTCCATCAGACAACCAGATCTGAAATGCTCAGGTGCTCTGAAGGGAGCCAGAGAGTATTCGTGTGTATGCACACCTGTGTGTGTGTGTGTGTGTGTGTGTGTGTTTATGTGCGCGCGCGCGCGCACCTGTGTACGCATGTGCGTGCTGTGTGTGTCTGTGTGTCTGCAGGCGCGTGGGTGCATGCCAGTCACTGCTACTGGGGTTGAGTCCTGACAGGCACCAGCGAACAGGGCCACTGGGCAGGGACTGAAGAGCCGACCAAAGAGAAACACAGTCTCTTGCCCAAGGTCGCGCTTCCGAACAGGTCAACTCTGGTTTTCTGTACAAACGATCACAGCTGCTTAACATCGGAGAAAACCTTGATCCTGGTGACCCTGCTTTTGTTATTAAAAATGAACAGAACAAAGAGAAAATTAATGTTTATGTGAAGATTTCTTTTCCCTCGCTTTGGGACTGTTGTTGTTGTTGATTGCCTTCGAGTTGAGCACGACTCATAGTGACCCTGTGAACAAAAGGCCTGAAGCCCCTCTACGACCATCGACATTAATCAAAGTTCATAGAGTTTGTGGAGGCATGTTATTTATTTTTTTTTTACTAAAACAATGTATTATTTGGGCAGCTTCTTAAAGACAAAGGCGAGGTTATTGTTGTTTTGTAGGCATTAGTGGTCACTAACTTGTCCCCCAAGTTATGGCGACAGTGGACCAACAGAATGAATGTCCAGAATGCTTGATTACAGCTACCGCTGGGTCCCTGCAGGCTACTGCTGACCTCTCACCTACATCTTGCCAGGAGACTTTTTAACAGGCTTCTCAGCTTTGGGCTGACTGACTCAAGAGCGCCTAGCAGTAACTGACTTAAGTGTCAACTGCTTGGATCTACACAGAAGTGCCACAGAAAAAAGGCCTGCAACTTACTCCAGTAAAGGCTGTTGTTGTGCTGCTGTTAGGTGGTTCTGAGTCACGGCAACCTGATGGACAAAATACTTCCTAGTTCCATGACGTCCACTCAACTCTTCACCATCTCTCCACCACCTTCACCAGAGCACCTCACAGTGTGGAAAGCTCCCTCTTATATTGGTCCCATAGCTGTTGATGATTTGCCAGACCATGTGGCTGCAGTTAAGGTAGCTGGGGACCGTGATGCCAACAGGAGTTAACACAATGGCTAGAAAAGCCAATTTTCAAGGATTCTGACATTCCAATACCCAAAATGTACGTGAGATAGTTCCCATTCTTCTCAGAGTCAGCCACAGTTTGTTAGGATCCACACAGTCAAATGCCTTTGCATCAATGAAACACAGATAAACATTCCTCTGGTATTCCCTGCTTTCAGGCAAGATCCATCTAACGTAAGCTACAATATCCCTAGTATCACCACCCCTTCTAAACCCAGCCTGGACTTCTAGTAGTTCTCTGCTAATGTGCTGTTCCAGTC